AAGTAAGCCATGGCTTGCCGCGGCCGAGTGCATTCGATTTTCCATGAAGCGCACCCCTCAGTCGGACTCCGATCAGCTACTGAAGCCGGCACCTGCTACACGCTCAGCCAGCCAGGAAGAGAAAATCGTGAGCACAAGCCGCTGAATGGCGAGAAAATCTCAGTGAAGGCGTGCTGGCGAGAAGTGATGGAGGGTTGCCCACGTAGCGCCAGTTCGCGTCGTACTCAACGCGGCTGAGTGCGACATAGGCCGCGGCGGGCATGTTGGGCACATCCAGCCAGAGGGTGATGTGCGGGAGGGTCGCGCCCTGCACTTTGTGCAAGGTGCTTGCATAGCCAAGCCGCAGTGGGTAATGATGCACGCGGTCCTCGGAGGTCCAAGGATGCACGGCCAGCCGGACTCCTTGGTCCGTCTTCACGATGATGTTGCCGTGGTCCATGCCCAGCACCACTGCGCCCATGCCGTTGACGAACCCGACGGACTTGTTCAAGTTCTTGGTGAGAATGACTCGCGAGCCTGCATAAATGGGCACCTCCACGGGCGTCTGTGTCACCATCCGGCCGCGAGCGAAGTTCTCCACGTTGCTCTCCGGGTCGCCCGGCACGACCGCCAAGGGAGTGTCCTCGCGGAAGAGCGCGGCCACGGCGGCATCATTCAGTAGCGCGCAGGCGCGGCGACTGATTGTCAAGAAGAGCGTGTTCGGAGTCTCCTCGAGAATGTGGGCCACGTCCTCCATCGATGGCTCTGCATTCATGACGTACCCGGCTCTGCGCAAGGAAGGAGCTTTGTGGCCGGCTTTGATCTGGCGCAGCTGCTCCACAGAGGGCTTGCCGATACGCAGGAGTTCGAGGGCCTTCCGCAGTTTCGGACACTTGCATCGCTGCATCGTGTGGAGCTGCCGCTTCTTGATGAGGACGCTGTGCCAATGCGGGGAGTCCAATGCGCTGGTGGGGTCGACACCCGGCAACTGGTAGAAGTCCCCGACGAACACCAAAGTGGGAATTTGATCGGTCGCTTGCCACTGCTCTAGGATACGCTCGAAGATGGTACGAGAAAGTTGGCCAACTTCTTCAACCACGATCAGGTCGTAAGGCCACAGCACTTCCAAGGCTTCCTGCGCAGGCTTGTGCACGAGGAAGGCGCCATGCACGGTGTCGACCTCCAGATCCGGGAAGCGCTCGCGCAGAGCGGCTGCCAAACGACCCGTCGGGGCAGTGAGCAGGATGCGGCCACCCGCTGCAGAGACCCGTTGTATGGCGTCGTGCACCGCCGTCGTCTTGCCACTTCCAGCCGGCCCGAGCACAGCAAAGGGCGTGCGGGCATCCACCACACCTGCGAAAGGAGAAGGGTCAGCTGCCCAGGCCGGATTCGCCGCCGCTGCATCGGCAGGGTCTGGGGAGTCCCAGCCCTCTCCTCTCCAGGCATCCTCGCGCTGCTGTCGCCGGCGCATGCCCTCTTGCGCACTGTCCACAAGCTCGTCGGCGATACGACGCTGCTGGACGGATAGCCGGACGCGGGCGCCGCCGCCGAAGGATTGCGCCGCAGCTTCAGGACTCGGGACGTCCTCATTCTTGTCGAGCTCGCCGGAGAGGTACCTGCGAATCAAGCCTTGGTTGGCAAAGAGCATGGCCACGATGTTGCGCACGTGGTGCTCGCGGAATGCCTCCAGCTCGAGCTCTGCACGAATGGCTTCCTCGCTCGTCCAGTGTTGAGGTCGCAACAGGAATGCCAGCGTCTGATAGTAGAGGTGCGACGGGACCAAGTCGAGCTCGGGGCGGTACAGCTCGTCCAAGCTTCGAAAAGGCACGTTCATGAGAACCCACTGCCCGTAGTAGCGATCGCTGTAGCGGGAAAGGTAGATGGCGGCCACGGCCACGTCGCCACAGAGCGGGGCGTTGTTGGACCAAACCTCGAGGGACTCGAGCGGTTCCGCGGTGCCAGGCCTCCCCACCATGTCGTTGTAGCGCTTGCGCAAGGCTTGGTGGATGGCCCCCTTCCGGTTCGTCCTCCGCAGGAAATCCGCCAGCGGCATGTCGGCGGCCCGCCAGGGGCTGGAGAGGTATTGCTGCACACGCTCCGGCAGCTCGCTTTCCCAAGGGACCGGAACAGGGAAGCGCTGCAAAGTGCTGCCTGCAAAACATTGTGGGAACCACTGCATGGCCAGTTGCAGTGTCATCTCTGGCTCCATGGGGTGGTAATCGGTCAGAACACGCCGGGCAACCGCGTAGTCGCTGCAGGCGTCGGCAAGCCACTCTGTCGTGAAGCTGTCCGAAAACTTGGGTACGTAGCCCGAGACGTACCGCAGCAGCATGCCGCGGCCGTCCGGTCAATGTGGCAGTGCAAGCTGGCGAGTAAGTCCTTGATGTAGCCGCGCACTCCCTCGGGGTCACCAGTTGCATCGCTGAACGTGCAAAAGTCCGACTCTTTGTGCTGGAGGCGAAGCACGCCGTCGGAAGCATCGTAGTGGGAGGCACCCGGATGTACCGGCCACCCGCTGCCAGTCCAGGAGCGTTGGGAGCCTTCCACCAAAGACGCCATGACGGGGTTGTCCTCGGGCACGGTGGCAGACAAGCTTTCCTCGAGGCGGACGGCTTCGATGTGCTGGAGCCAAATCAACAGGTGCAAGTGAACGGTGCCACGGCCGTGGTAGAATTGCGAAGCGACTTCTTGCTCGTTGACGTACCGGCGCCGCTTGCCATCTTGGTACTCCAGGCGACCGAAAAAATTCACCACAGTCTTGCGGCCGCTGCCATCCTTCGCTGCAAAGATGTGGCTGCGCCAGCCGGCGTCGCGGGAGCGGGCCGCCCCTGACGTCGCCTGCTTGTTCGCGCCGGTTAGCAAACCTTGCACCGTCTGAGCCAGGACGTGTGCTATGTGGAGAGTCTCCGCGACCGGCAGCCGCAACTTGCCACGCAGCAACTTCGCCATCTCGTCTTCCACCCAGGAATGAAACGGAAAGCTCCATTCGTAGGGCGCCACAGTAACAAAGAGAGTGGGCAGCCCCAGTTGCTTGACCACATCGATGAGAGCGGCGTGCCGAGTCTGCCAATATTCCGGCGAGAAGGAATAACCCGACATCGCCACACGTAAAGGCGCCTCCACCGTGTTCTTCTTGGCGCCGAGAGCACTCCAAAGCCAAAGATCATACACGAACTGAAACAGTTCGTAATCGGCACCGTAGCCGAGCGTCGGGCCAAGGACCTTCGCCAAGTAGGCACTCTTCGCGGAGTTGCGGCCGGAGCGGGCAAAGTCCAGTGGAGCTGCGGCCTCGGCTTCGTCGGCTTCCGAACAATCCTCCTCTTGCTCGTCGTGCAAGTCCTGCATGCCCTCGTCTGCGGAGACGGCATCTTCTGCATCGACCAGACTGTCAAGCATAGAGCTGCCTGGCTCTACAGGACGGCCTCGTCGCCGCACATCAGCTTTGCGAATGTGCGTCTCGCACATTGTGGTCCGGGGGTATAGATGCGGCCAGACGGCACACTCCAGCCCCACTTCCTCGAGGGCGCGACGCGGCAGTCGCAGACGGCCATCACGTTCTTCGCCGCTGAGGTCGCTCCGGTACCGACGCAGAAATTGGTTGTGCATGTAGACGAAGCGGGAGTAAGAGCTGTCGTCAGCGCCCATGAGATAGTCGTAGGCAGTCGTGGCGGCGGTGCGTTCGACATCCGAGAGCATACCAATTTGGCTCTCAACCGAGCGTGGTCGCCACCAGAAGCGGATCATGTCTGTGTGCACCCGGTAGCCATGTCGAGCAAAGACGGGCAAGCCGACATCCGGAGACAGCGGCCGCAAAGCCCAGAGTACATTCAACGACAGGTTCCGGAGCTGCGGCGGGATGAAATCCGGCGACACCGTTGGATACCCAGTTCCAGCCCGACAGTGCTGACAGCAGGCGATCGTGTGCCGAGAGGACCGGTTGGTCCCAGCAGATGTGATGTCTCGCTCCCACACTGGGCGAGGTTCCAGTCGATGGCATTGCTGGCACATAGCCCAAGATGTTTCACGGCACCAGGCCTCGAAACGTGTAGCCAGCTCAGGACGCCAGCTTTCGTCGCCGTCGGCTCTGGCGGCCATCCAAGGCCCGAACTTCGCCCGAAGGCGTCTCTCATCATCGGCTTTCTTGGCGCGGTAGACTGCGTCGGCGTCAGCTGAGACAGGCAGACCAGGATTCACGCGATGGGCGAGCAAGGTGTGCCAGGACTGCGCTGCATCAGCAGCCGCACGGCGTGCGGCGACGGCGGCCTTAGCACGCGAGGGCCGCGCCAGTGCTGCAGTCAGCGTGGCGTGATAGCTCTCTGGCACTCTCTGCCACGCTGCGGCGAGGACACCGGACTCGTCGGCTTCAGACCAAATCCGTAAAGCACGTGTCACATGTCTGCGATTGTAAGGGTTCTCGAGCTGCGCTGTCAGACTTGCCGGCGAACACCACGTGCAGGCCGCTTCACCGTGCCGGCAGCGTGCCGCCTGTCCAAGTGTCCGGGCCTGCAATGAAAAGATGCAAGGTGTGCCATCTCGTCCAGGGCAGGTTTCGTTGGGCTTTCGGTGCCGCGGACGTTTGACTTTGGGCTCAGGGGGTACACCAGGATGCTCAGCGACGACTAAGATCTCCGGGCCCCCACAAATGTCCTCTGCGAGAGCCTCGGCGTCGGCAGCCTCAGCAAGAACTTCTTCAAGCACAACCTGAGCCATGGTCGGAAGGCATTTACAAGCGAGAGCGCTATAGACGATTACGATTGTACGTTGGAGCCAAATCTGTCGGTGCAAAGAATTGCACAGTCGCATAAACATCCAGTCGTACAGCAGGGGCACACTGTTAAGCAGTATGGTCACACATCTGTCAAAGGGCTGAAGAGTTGCCTCGTGCCGGATGCAGCTGTTTTCTCACGCAAAAAGCCAGGCGACTTCCCGTCTGCTGCCTACGGCCAAGACTGTACTCTCCTCGACGCGCGGCACTGAGACATCCAAACACAGAGCCTAGGCGGCAGTCACCCTCGCTTGCTTTAGCCTCCCTTTCGCACGAGGACGACCTTGCTGCACTCCCTGGCCAAAGTCACGTCGGGCTGGATTTCACGGATGACCTGATCCTCATCCATGGCCCGGATATCCCAATTCGCCACGTCAGCTTGACTGCCCTGTGCCTCGAACAGGCGACGAACCGCAGAGGCCACCGTCTCACCATCTTCAATGACCTCGACCTTGTCGACAGGGGAGCCTTCCGTCACCATGGCCTTGCCCGCACCGGAGACAGCGGTGACGCGATAGATCTCGAGGGCCACGTCTTTCGCAGCTCGGCGCTTGGAGCACGAGTCGGAAGCAGGCGAAGGCGACTGGCGTTCGTTGGCCGCTTTCTGCGCCTCCTTGTCTTTCTTCTTCTTCTTGGGGACAGTAATGGAATCGGGGTCGTCCGACTTTTCTGCCTTCCTCTTGTCTTTCTTCTTCTTGTTGGCGACAGCGATGGAATCCGGGTCGTCTGACTTGTCTGCCTTTGGCCCTTTCTTCGGCTTCTTTGTCTCAGCAGTCTTTGGTTTTCTGCTCGCGGCCTTTGCCTTCTTCCCACGTGACGGACTAGACGTAGGAGACGAGGAGCCCGAGGTGCCGCCGGATCCGGTTGGGCTGGCGGACGCCGCCTCGCGAACGGGGGGCTTCTTTTTGAAGAGAGACGAGGCAGTGTTGCCGCGATCACGCGAGTCCTCCTCGAGCTTTTCAGTGAGTAGAGTTGCCAAGGCCTTGTGCATCCTTGAGGTGTCGTTGCTGTGCTTGCGCCACGCCTTGACATTGGCAGAGTCCGAGACGGTGTCCGGGATATGCGACACCCACCATGCTGGATCGGAGGCACACACGAGCAACGGCAGCAGCGCCGTACCCATCAGGTGCAAGCGGCTGCTAGCGATGGTGACCTTCGTCACTAACTCTGCCAGACGAGGGGTTTTGGTCAGCTTCTTGAACAGCAGCGCCACAGCCGCGCGAAGGTCCTTGTTGTCGTGCTGCGCACTGGTGTCCGTAGTGTTGAGCTGGGCCAGGGCTGCATTGAAATCAGGGTCGTGGAAGATGCTCGCAAGTTCCTCCAGTTCGACGTCTGCCAGCGCACCGAGGACGTCGACCCCGGCCTGCACGGATCCGGCTGCTTCGCTGATCCCCACACCAGGGCGCCGGAGCACATGTGTGGAGTCAGCTGTTAGGAGGGCCTTGAGATGCTTGGTGCCGAGGAACAAGTCGTCCGAGATGTTTCGCTTCGCATCCTTGACGAAAGCCGAACCATCCTGACCGGCGCTCGCTTTCAAAATGGCTTTGGGGAACTGGTACCTGGACCAGATCCTTCCAGTACGAACTTGTGCTTCCTGGGGCTCCTCGGCTGCTTCGTCCCACCAGTCGCCCTTTCGGGGGCCCTTCTTGGCCTTTCCCTTGCTGGACCACTTGCCGGGCTTGCCCCAGCCTTTGTTGTAGGCCTCGGACCAAGGATAAGCCATGGCGTCAAGACTGGGATACGAGACGGCGGTGAGTATGAGGGGTGCTTCCGAGCCAAGTGCAACACTGATAATTATGCAATGATCACAAGCTACGCTTTCACTGCTCATGCGTGCAAGCGAACCTGCAAGGCAACCCGGATTTTGTTCACCACCATCGGGCAGGGGCGTGCCATTCGATTGCCGGCTTTGTCGCCAAATGGAAGCTGCAGGGCTAAGCCGGGCTACATGGCCTTCAAAAAATCAAGATGCTACACTGCTACTGTCTCTTTCAGTGCGGGCTGCGCTTACGCTTCTTGCAAGCAGCGCTAGCAGCTGCAGTCTCAGAAGAATCAGCAGACAGTGTCTTGTCACGGTCCAGTCGGACGAACTGCTGGGCGCCTGTCGGGTGGCGATAGGCTTTCGGCACCTCATAGCTCACGGGATCACTGAGCACCCACGCATACCAGCGGCGCCAGCGGAAGCTGGCCAGACGCTCCCTGGAGACATTATGCTTCGTCATGTTGTGGGGCAGAAGAAGGTGGTGCTGCTCGTGGCCTTCCACAGCCAAGAGCTGGCCGCCCGCGTCCACACGGCCCACTGCCAGGCAGTCAACGATGTCTACCTCGCCAAACAAGAAGCCTTTGTATGCGAGAGCAATGCGCTCGCGCTTCGCTGTCCGGCATCCCCGCAGCTCCCACGTTTTGGCGCCGCTCAGAATCTGTCGAATCCACGATTCTTCAACAAGCAGGGCCGAGGCAGGCGTCGGTCCCAATGTCGCTGCGGCCATGCTGAGGATGAGAGCTGTGCTCTTGATGATATTTGCTGCAGAAAACATGTAGGTGTATTGCTTTGCACGATGCAATTGACACAGCAGGCACAGAGAGTCACCTCGCCTCGTACCGCAGACGGGTCGAACCCTTTTTTTGCTCCAGCTCGAGACCTGAGCGGCCTTGGACGAATTGGTGAGACGCCTAGCCCAACAAACAATGTACGGCTTGAAGCAACAAAACGGCGTTGGGCATGCCCGGCCTGAGGGGGTTCCCCCCCCAGCACCGGGGAGGAAAATACATGAATTTTCGTGTTCGTCCAAAACCTTGTGCGGCAGGCACCAAAGTCCTAAGGCAAAAACCCAAGCCGATTTACGCAGAAACATGTGGGTGACTAACCGCAAAAGGTTTTGTAGGGAGACTGCGTCCCAACCTTAAAGGGAAAGCAAAAAATGGCAAGGACGAGCCAAAAGTAGATAGCCAAAAAACGGGCGCAGGGGTGAAAAGTCACGCCATTTCCGCTGGGAGGGCCCAGGACCGGAATCCAAAATTGTTTTTGATATAGCAGTCACTAATGACCGCGAAAGGCGGCCACCCGGAGCGCACAAAAAAAGCGAGCGGAGCTGGCGTGGGAAGCCCGCTGCAGCTGTCGGTGCACGCGTGAGTTTTTGAAAAATGAAGCAAAACCCAACAAAAGCAAGAAAACGAAAACGCGCAGCCACTCCAATATCCTAAATTGGCGGTCCCGGGGCGGCCCCGGGACAGTGTCCCGGGGGTGTCCCGGGGCGTCCCGGGAGGTCCCGGGACAAGTGGGTCCCGGGACAATTGTCCCGGGAGGGGCCCGCGACACCCTGAGACAACCCGGGACAATGTCCCGGGCGGGCCCTGGGACAACTGTCCCGGGGGGGCCCTGGGACAACTTTGCGTATGAGAAGTAACAACAAGGCTAGGGGGGCCAGGGGGGCCAGGGGCGCGGTGGTCAGGGGGCAGAGCAGGAAAGCAGAAAATGAGACCGCCAGGTGTCGTTCGGTGGGAGCCAGGAGGGGGGGAAGGGGGCCGAGGGGGGCCAGGGGGGTCAGGAGGGGCAGGGGCCAGGGAGGGGCGGGGGGGGGGCCAGGGGGCAGGGGGCCAGGGAGGCAGGGTCTCCCCCTAGGAAAAGCCAGGAGCCTCCCCGGGTCCCTGGACTGAATCTGCCAGCTGTGGTCCCCGGGCCGGCCCCTGGGGCCTTTTCTGAGGGGGGCCAAATGGAAAGGGCCACCAAGGGATTTGGTCGTGGGGTTTAGGGTGTTTTAATCTCTTGAGATTCGAGGGAATTCCCTCTGCGAATATGGGCGCCACGCAAGGGGCCTAATGGCTTGGCTCAGCCCTAGGGGCTGAATTCGACCACTCTCCAATGGCTCCACCCATTGTCCATCCAGAGTTGGTGTCAATCACTGCCAGGTTTCCTTCTGGGTCCAGGCACCCTAAGAAAAAGGGTGGGTACGGCCTAAGCAGGCCTGGGTGGGAATTTAGGGTTTAGGGTTTAGGGTTTAGGGTTTAGGGTTTTCGCTGCGAGTGCGCTGTCGACCCCTCCATAAAGTGGTTGGGGTCGGCGCATGAGCTGCAATGCCCGCCCTCCCACCCTAATTTCAAACCTTGAACGGGTTTAGGGTTGTCTACCCCCCCAACCCCCCCTAGCAAGGGGGGCTTATATGGTTTGGCAACCAGACCAGGCCAACTTTTCCACAACGCCAAAGTGACAATCTCCAGGCGCAAAGTGACAATCTCCAGGCCCCAAAGTGACAATCTCCAGGCCCTAAAGTGAGCCAAAGGGCCTTCTGGGTGGCTTCGGTCTCTGGGGCCTTTGCAGGGTTTACGGGGGAGGACCTTCTGCAGGCTTTGTGGGGGCTGCGCGGCCTTCTGGAAACCTTCTGGACACCTTTTTGCCCACCTTCAAAACTGCTTAAAACCTATTGAAACAGCTACAAAAACCATTCAAAACTTTTAAAAACCACTCTGAGCCTTTAAGAACCTCGCAAAACCTGCAAAAACTTGCAACCAGACCAGGCCAACTTTTCCACAACGCTAAAGTGACAATCTCCAGGCGCAAAGTGACAATCTCCAGGCCCCCAAGTGACAATCTCCAGGCCCCAAAGTGACAATCTTCAGGCCCCAAAGTGACCCAAAGGGCCTTCTGGGTGGCTTCGGTGGGCTTGTCGCCTCTGGGGCCTCTGCAGGGTTTACGGGGGAGGACCTTCTGCAGGCTGTGTGGGGCCCTGCGCTAGGCTCTGGGTCCTTAATTTTAATTAGGTCCAATTAATTTTAAGCTCCGGGCCTTTAAGTTTAGGCTCCGGGTCCCTAATTTTAGGTCCGGTCCTTTTTTTCAGTTCCGGTGCCTTAATTTTAGCCTGGCCCTATTTCGGGCCCTTAATTTTAGGCTCCGGGTCCTTGATTTTAGGTCTGGCCTTAATTTTAAGCTCCTGGTTCTTAATTTTCCGCTCCGGCTCTAATTTGAGGTCCTGGCCCTTAATTTTAAGCTCCGGGCCCTTAAATTTTATGCTCCGGGTCCTTAATTTTAGGTCCGGTCCTTAATTTTAAGCTCCGGGTCCTTAATTTTCGGCTCCGGGTCCTTTATTTTAGGTCCGGTCCTTAATTTTACGGCTCCGGGTCCTCAATTTTAGGTTTTAGTTCTTATTTTAAGCTCCGGGCCCTTAATTTTAGGCTCCGGGTCCTTAATTTTAGGTCCGGTCCTTAATTTTGAGCTCCGGGTCCTTAATTTTAAGTCCAAATCCTGAAATTCAAGCTCCGGTACTTAATTTAAGCTCGAGTCCTTAATTTCTTGTCGAGTCCTTAATTTTCGGTCCCGGGTCTTTAATTGAAGGCTCTTTAAAGGCAGCAAGGAGGATTCCAAGGGTGCCCGGCCATTTGCACCAAGGTTTACCGGGGCCCGGAAAGGAGGATTTCAAGGGTGCCCGGCCGGTTCGCACCAAGGTTTAGGGTTATTATTATATAGGCTGACAGTAGCGGCCTATTCACTGGAGCCGCGTGGACCTGAGGTCCAGGACCTACGGCTCGCTTTTCAGCCATCGCCTACGGTCCGGCAGGCGCCTTCCGGTCCGCCTGCTGCGTCCGACCCCATTCGCTGCGGTGGGGGGTCGGCCTTCAGTTTAGGGTTTAGGGTTTAGGGTTTAGGGTTTAGGGTTTAGGGTTTAGGGTTTAGGGTTTAGGGTTCGACAGCGTAGCAGTCGCCCCGGGCAACTTGAGGGTGCACTTCTTTCATAGGGGGGTGTTGTCTAAACCCAGAAACTTAATTTCGAAACGTAAACGTAGCCATCGCGATGGGTGGGTGGCCGGGGTGGGTGGTGGTGGCTGGAACTATAAACCCATGGCCCAAACCCATGCTCCTTGGAGTGGCTTACGGAATTTTCATGAAATTCTTTAGGAATCGTAAATATTCACTACCGTGATCTTGGGGGGCGCTGCCCCCCAGACCCCCCGCCAGGACTCCTCGCCCTGGACCCCGCCAGCACTCGCTAGAACCCCCGAAAAGAGTTTTCTTTTCTTTCAAACTTTTTGGCAGCCAGCAAAGGGCAGGCAGCAGGGAGCCAGGCAGCCTGGGCTGGGCCGGGCTGGTTTGAGCTGGGCATGGGGACACCCCCTGGACCCTGAAAAGAGTGTGGCGTTTAGCCACTAACTGCAGAGGAACGGGTTTGGGGGCGGGGGCGGCGAGGGGGGGCGGCATTCTACTTGAGGCGAGGAGCTTTTGGGTGTGGGCGGGATGGGCGTGAGCAGGGTATGCGGTGGGTGTGGTGCACACCGCGGTGGGGGCGGGTGCGGGTGGGTGGGAGGCGGGGCGGGGGGGGCGCAGGGGGCCGACCACCCATTCCACTTGAGGAGAAGGGTTTTTGGGGGTGGCGGGCAGGGCAGGAAACCCTCAACCCTAGCACCCTAAACCTTAAACCCAAGGCCCGAAACCCTAAACCCAAGGCCCCAAACCCTCAACCCTAGGGCCTTAAACCAGCCATGGCCGAAAGCCATGGCCGAAACCCATGGCCGAAACCCATGGCCGAAAGCCAATGGCCGAAACCCATGGCCGAAACCCATGGCCGAAACCCATGGCCGAAAGCCAATGGCCGAAACCCATGGCCGAAACCCATGGCCGAAACCCATGGCCGAAACCCATGGCCGAAAGCCATTGGGACACCCTTTGCTTAAACCCAAACCCCAGCACCCAAACCCTAAACCCTCAGCCCCGAAACCTTAAACCCAAGGCCCCAAACCCTAAACCCCTAAACCCTAAACCCTCGGCCCCGAAACCCTACACCCCAGGCCCCAAACCCTCAACCCTAGGGCCCTAAACCCTAAACCCTAGCACCCAAACCCTAAACCCTCGGCCCCGAAACCCTAAACCCTCCGCCCCGAAACCCTAAACCCAAGGCCCCAAACCCTCACCCCTAGGGCCCTAAACCCAAGGCCCCGAAACCCTAAACCCAAGGCCCCAAACCCTAAACACCTTAACCCTAAACCCTCGGCCCCGAAACCCTACACCCCAGGCCCCAAACCTTCAACCCTAGGGCCCTAAACCCTAAACCCTAGCACCCAAACCCTAAACCCTCGGCCCCGAAACCCTAAACCCAAGGCCCCGAAACCTTAAACCCAAGGCCTCAAAGTAAACCCTAAACCCTAGCACCCTAAATCCTAAACTTTCGGCCCCGAAACCCTAAACCCAAGGCCCCAAACCCTCAACCCTAGGGCCTTAAACCCTCAACCCTAGGGCCCTAAACCCTAAACCCTAGCACCCAAACCCTAAACCCTCGGCCCCGAAACCCTAAACCCAAGGCACCGAAACCCTAAACCCAAGGCCCCGAAACCCTCAACCCTAGGGCCTTAAAGCCTAAACCCTAGGAACCCTAGCACCCAAACCCTAAACCCTCGGCCCCGAAACCCTAAACCCAGGCCTTAGCACCCAAACCTTAAACCCTCGGCCCCTCAACCCTAGGGCCCTAAACCCTAAACCCTCGGCCCCGAAACCCTAAACCCA